CGGGATAATAGAGGATTCTATAATACGACATTCCGTTAGTACAATTACAACCAAATCAAATGCTATACGTTTTAAAGCTATCCATGATAATAGTAGTGTAATATGTTACCTGGCTTTTGTCTAATTCTATTCGAAATTATATTTTGTATTTACTGCACTGCTTAAAAAGTTTAAAGCATATAAAACTATGAAAAAAAAAATACAATTGTGGAAATAGGTTGAACTTAAAGCTATTACTTAAAAAAACTTGCTTAATCGTCTAGAGTGTAAATTATCGCTTTCTCGCTTTTCAAACTCGATGTGGTCGATCGACCGTTTTCATCTACGTACCTCCCCCTAGTGATTAATTTTAATGGCTATCTCAATATTGCAGTGACACAGTTTTGGTCGTTCTTACTTATCTATAGTACCTACTAATATTGGTTTAATTTTATGTGAAATTAACTTGGATTATTATTGAGCAAATATATTCCACAATAGCAAGGATAATTATACTTTTATATCCTTATACATATATCTTCAATTATAATTTTGAGGGATGACTACATATTTGTGCCATTTGCTGTAGAGACTATCAGTCCGTGGGGTCCACATGCGGTGAAGTTCCCAAAGGAACTGCGACTGGTCGACGTTGTTCTTTTAGGAAGGCTGGTTTCTTTCTCGCTCAAACGCTAAGTATAGCTATTCAGCGAGGAAACGCTGCCAGCGTTCTTGGTACGATACCACAGGGAATAGGACTATATGACAATTTAAATTTATTAGTTTTAGTTTTTCATTATTTTAGTTTTTTTTGTAATAATATTGTGTGTAACCTTTTAGTTAAATTTAATTTTATACTATGTTTTAACTATTATAATTGGCGTTAACATTATTTTTTTAAATATTAAGTATGTCCTTTTCAGCCCATTACATTCAATGTTAATTAATCAAATATTTTTGTAAATAAAAAGCAGCGTTCCTGAAAAAAATATATGCATGAGGAATTATTAAAATAGTGGTAAATTATTATTTAATGTTAAATATGGAATCTTATCCCGAATTTAAGGCTGTTCTTATTTTAGAAAATATTACCTTTGATGATTTTGTCGAAATGATTTACGAAAGTCAAATAATTAATAATTCCTTCAGTTTTAGCCTTGCATGATAATCTTGCTGCGCAGCTCGGGCGGGCTCGGCAAATCTGTTGAGAGCTTTCTGAAACATATCTGAGCTTGGTATTGGCAGTCGCCCGCGAGCTTTTGAGGCTGTTGGTTGTGTCGACGCTTCTCTGTTATAAAACCGCGAGTAACCACGATTGACTTCGTTAATATAATTGACGTTTCACTGTATAAATAGGCGTTATTATTTAAAAAGTGTACATTAAGCAAAATTAGAAAGAAGAAAAAACCGCGTGATTTTTCTTTAATATATTTCCTTATTTATTTAACAGAGTGACATATTATGTACATAGTATTCTAAGAAAATTGAATTTAACCGCAAAGCCTTAGCAAAACCCATTTATAACATAAACATACGATACTGTCGTTATTTGATTTTGATAATGAAATTAATGTCTTAATGTAGCTTTACAAATTAAATCTTATATATTTTTATTTACCAATCAACTGTTTTTAATAAAGATTTTAAAATGTTTATGAAACAATATTTGTTTACGAAATGATTTTAAATTAATATTAATTAAAGGGAATTGAAGAAAAAAATACAAGGAAATTGTGTTATACCTTTATGATTCTTTTTATCCGTTTGTAAGTATTAGAAGCAGTAAAGAAAAAGTGTTTTATATAAAACTTATAGATAATTTTGGTGCTATGGTTGAATTAATATTTATAATATATGCATCTAAATAGTAAAATATATACAGCATATTTCATTTTTGTGTGTTCACGTTTTTTTATTCTATTAAAATTATAAATACTTTACATTAAGTTAAAGTGACGTGTCTACATACTTTAGGCCATATAAATTAAAAGGGTATATATACCATTTTACAATTTTAGAGTTCAGCGACAAACATAATATTAAAAAAAACAATTTGCTTTCAGATCTTTGTTCAGTGATTTTCTCGTGGTTTCAAAATTTTAGCATTATTTGTGGCACTTTAAAATTTTGTGCTACATAAATATCTGATAGGAAGTGGAAAAATTTCAAAGAAGTAAAAGTAGTTTCACACAAATCGGTATAATTAAGTTTTGAACGTTTTGAAGTTAATGTTAATTTCTGAAAAACATTAAGACTTTACAACCAATGCCATGTGAATTCGTTAATTCACTTTGTGTTAGTTCGTTAGTTTACCTAGTAAGGCCGCCATTTCAAATATGTATTAAAATTCCAATATTTCTGTAGATCTATTTTAAAAAATAAATATTAAAAAGTATGAAAAGTCCACACAAGACTTAAAGTCTCGATTTAGCAGCTTTTATTGTGATTGTTATTAGACGACATAAGATAACTCTAATATACGTGCTAGAGCAACGTTGCAGTTATGGTTGCAGCAGAAATAGGTGGGCCCTATCGGCGAAGGACCACGCTCTCATAGAAACACCAGCGTAACATAATAGTTTTATGGCTTTATTGCTGCAGTTTTTTATAATTGTTTTTCATCAGTGTAGGGAAACGGGGACCTTTTTCACTGCTAATGAGGCATTCTACTTTAGTCCTCAGGGGTGACAAAGTATCTGCATTTTGATTTTTAATCAAGGATGTAATATGCAGATGTCAGTGGCCCATAGCATCCAATTACCATCAGGAGGAATTAAAAGGTTCTCCGGTTCTCTACACTTACCATAAGAAACACAGCAGCATTAAGCTGCTATTTTACGCTGGTATTCTGTAAGAGCTTGATCCTAGCCTGGTCGAGCCGACCCATTCGTGCTACAATCATAATATAGCGGCAACTTGGCTCTACCACGCATAATGGTTAGCCTCGGGTCTTTAATAACGCATAATAGACTTCTCGTATCTCTGCTCTTATTGGTTGAGCGTTACATGGCATGAGGATAGATATTCGTCCTAAAATCTCTCGAGTTGTAATGTATCCTTTGATGCTTATTGTTCCTAACAATATTCGAAAGTTGTCGCCTATCTCAATCATTTATAAGAACATCTTTTTCAATCAATATTAGAACAATTAATAATATTCTTGCTTATTTTCAATTATTTATCTTAAAACTCCATCAAAAAATAAATAATTTTGTATTCGTTTTATGTTTTCTAATTCCTCTCGTGTATAGAAATAAAATGCTAAGGAGGTCATTTCCATAAAGGAATTTTCTTCAGTTGTGCTTGAATACAAAGGTGAGAAAATACGACTTAATATTTAAATTTATTGCCTTGCACGCGAATTTTTCATTAAGTTAAAATTATTTGTGAAACTTATATAATATCGTAAAATATTTTCTTACTGGGCTTCTTTTATTATTGTTAACTCTATTTATTTAATTATTCAACACAGTTTGTTGTAGATTATTTTGATTGGGCTTAATATTATAGTTGAATTTAAGCTGAAATATTATCAGTGCTACTAGATAATATTGAAGTAATAAACTATTCTAGTCAGCACAAACGGCCCAATTCACTTTAAACATTGCAAATGAGAGGCAACCAAACAAACATTAATTAGCAAGGGTTTAATCGATTTAATATTCAAAATCCCAACGTTAAAACGTTATATAAGTAAAGATTTTAAATGGCACACTTTACACCTTCAATTTTGTTGTGATGTCTACTTTCTTTGCGTTATACCATGACACATGCATAATTAACCCAATAATTATTAGGGAAAAACTTAATTCATTAAATTATATACATATGTGAAAGTAGGGTATATAGAGAGACAGTAAAATCTAAGGTTGTGTGGCATTTCATCTAAGTCCTCAGAGGTGACAACGCATCAGTAGTCTTTTTGTTTGCGATTGTAAGTTCAATTGTCAGTTCAGATTTATTTAAAAAATATCTTAAATTATTGACTGAGAAAATAAGTGCGGGTTAATGTTCAGCAACTGCTGAAAATTCCAGAACTCGCAAAACAAACGAAGTTATAATTGTATAAATATGCAAAAGAGTTAATACATTAATCATACTTTTGACATGAGTATATCGTTTTTATTTATTTGTTTTAATTTATTTATTGAAATTCGTTATTGAAATTATCAATAGATAATCAAAATAAATATTACTTAAAATAAGATGTTGTGTTGATTGATTTTTGATAATAAATGCATTTATTTAAAAGGAGAGTAACACCTAATTGTTATTTAAATTTTTAAATAATGAAAAATAAAATTCCACCAAAAATACAAAATAAATTTAAAATTGCTGAAAATATTGTGAAGGTGAGAGATATTTTTTTTTACCGTGTCACACAAAAACACCAGCTACTGCCATCATAATGACAAACCTAATGATGTTACGGCCTATTTACTTTCTTTCGTTAAAATTTACGCACTGTTTTACCTTCAATTTCGATATTTCTAATTCAGACAAAAGAGAAATCAACATTTCCTTAAGGGAATTGATATTAATTTATTTTGACTCTGGAATAAAGTGAAAGACGTATTTTTAAAAATCTCTTTCAAAATTACTGTTATTATGCCAGAGCACCTTCTTACTTACTTAATTGATTCTATTTTCACCAATTATTATAAGAGTATGTGTAACAAAGTTGTTTAGATAAGATGTTGTTACCTACCTAGATGGAATCCTAGAAAAAAAAAAAAGAATTACTAACTTAAAATAACCTAAAAACACCGAATAAAATTTTAATGGTTTTAAAATTTCAACGCAGATGAATACATTTCTTACTTATTAGTGTCATTTTTAAGTTAATTAAGAGTTGAAAATGAACAAAGCTATGATAAGACTCTAAAAGAACATTGTAAAATATATTATAAAGTTATGAACATACAACACAATTATAGTGAAGAAGTGCAAGTGTCTACAATTAATTAAAAACTGATAATACTGCTATAATAATATGTTGGTGAAATCATAACTACATTGAAATGGAGCGACGGAAAGGACTTTTCATTATGTTATGGGTGGCAGTCATCCCATTGCATAAAGCAGATAATTTAGGTAAGCATTTCGGTTTTTCGGTAAATATTTATTCCAGCTAAAAATTCACTCATTTTGAATTCTTTGAGTTTCGTTGTTTTTTTTTTTATATATAGAATAAGGGTGACTAACGAACCCATGGTCTAGATGATGGTAAGTGGATCCTGTCTACATTTCTCCTAAATTAAGAACCGAAATGTAGATGCGTACCTTGCAAATTTTGAGGACTAATATGGAATATCTAGGTTCCAGTAAAAAGGTTCTCTGGTTATCTACACTTACTATACGAAACAAAGCTGTATTTTACGCTGTCATTCTGTGAGAGCGTCGTACAGTTGTGGCTCTTGCCAATTTACGCAGTCTGTTGTTACTGAATCCCAGAGCTTCTGAATTTACAATCATATTCAGCGCTTGGAATATTTTAAGCCTTTTTGATGGATCAGATCAAACTGTCTAAGCAACATAATTATTTATGCAATAGTAGTAGGTCATAACTAGACATAGGCTTCAGACGCCTTTGAAAGATTTTCGTTATTGTTACAGCCTACTAAGTCCACTACTGAACATAGGCCTTCCCTGTATATTGCCTCATAGGCGGATATATGCCATAGTTGCCACTTTGGCAAGCGGGTCGGCAACCGTAGTTTTTTATGTTATAGTAGTTGCACACTGCTGCTTATCTCCCAAGCTGTTTACCTCTGTCGCCTCTTACGACGACACCGGGACGATATATGGTAGTGGACATACTTACACCGCCACGCTACTACATGCCACTACACGGTTGAGAGATATTCGTTAATCGTATATAAAATGGTTAGTTCACACTATTCACCTTATTACAAAAAGTAGTCCAGATCAAAACGTGTCAATTACAATTTAAGGTTATAGAATTTTATTGCAAACTAGCTGTTACCCGCGACTTTGCCCGCGTGTTATTTGGGGTTTTAATTTTATTGCGCGGAACCCTAATTCTTTTTCTAAAATAAAATTAGCCTAAGTTACTCCTTGTGACATCAGCTATCTGCCAGTGAAAATCCCGTTAAAATCGGTCCAGCCGTTTCGAAGATTAGCCGGAACAAACAGACAGACAGACAGACGGACAGACAGACACATAGACAAAACTTTAAAAATTGTATTTTTGTTATTAGTACCGTATACACTTTCATATGCATTTAATAAAAAGATGTAATTTTGTCATTATAAACAGACACTTCAATTTTATTTATTTGTATAGATGTAAAATTTTGTGAATACTATGGCACAGCGGCCAATAGACTTCTTTCTTGAGAAAGACTCTCCTTAAACCTTAGTTAGTAGGTAGTAAGTTATATATTCATAATCTCGTATTAAAAATAAAACGTATGACTGATAAAGACTTAAGATCAGTGTACAAGACTCAACTCTGCTCCCTATATTATAACAATAAACAAAGAGAAATAGAAGGAAAATATAATGCCACCATAACAGACAGCTATATGACTATTCCACCTATGTGAATCATTTTTTTTATAGGATCAGGTGACAAACGAGCACACATTCCACCTGATGGTAAGTGGTTGCTGGGACCCATAGACATCTAAAGAATCGAAATGCAGATGCGTTGTCACCCGGGAGGACTAAGATGGAATGCCTCTTTTCCAATAAAAAGGGTCTTCGGTTCTCTACATTCACCATATAAAACACAGCAGCATTAAGCTGCTATTTTACGTTCGCATTCTGTGAGAGCGTGGTCTTTCACCGGTCGAGCAGAGCCATTCTTGCTATACATACAACTATACTACTAATATAGCTGCAACATGGCTCTACCACGTACAAAACATGCATAAACACTTAGACAAGTGATAGCACTGTGATATCTGATGTATGTTATATGGCCGACATAACGTATGCTGATGTCCTAGTCAAAGCGCTTCTTTCAAAGCTGCCTTCCTATGGGCTTCCCGAGAAATTGTGCAATTGGATCACCAGCTTTCTTGCAGATCGGAGCATCAAGGTCGTTGTAGACGGTGCATGTTCTGACTACAAGCCTATTAACGCTGGTGTTCCACAAGGCTGTGTGCTATCACCAACGCTGTTTCTTCTGCATATCAATGATATGTTGCTAACTGGTAACATTCATTGCTATGCGGATGACAGCACTGGTGATGCTCTATACACCGGCCGGGCCAATATTTCTCGGGAAAACGTCGCCGAGTACCGGAACAAACTTGTGTCTGAAGTCGAGTCTTTGCTGGACAAAGTCTCGGATTGGGGGCGACTAAATCTAGTCCAGTTTAATCCTCAGAAGACACAAGTTTGCGCGTTTACCGCTAAAAAGAACCCCTTTGTCGTATCTCCTCAGTTTCAAGGCATTCCCCTTCTTGCCTCAGCCAGTATCGGTATCCTCGGAGTCGACATATCGAGTGACGTGCAGTTTCGTGGTCACTTGGAAGAGAAGGCCAAATTGGCCTCTAAAAAGCTTGGCGTGCTCAGCAGAGCGGGACAGTATTTCATGCCGGCACACCGCCTGCAACTTTACAAGGCGCAGGTTCGGCCTCACATGGAATACTGTTCCCATCTCTGGGCAGGGGCTCCCCAGTGCCAGCTCCTTCCACTTGACCGCATCCAGCGCAGAGCGGCTCGAATCGTCGACGACCGAGCCCTTTCCGATCGGCTCGATTCATTGGCACTGCGAAGAGATGTTGCATCTCTTTGCATTTTCTTTCGCATCTACCATGGGGAGTGCTCTGAGGAATTGTTCGGCTTAATCCCAGCCGCCAGATTTCACGAACGCACATCGCGGCAGAACTCCCGATACCATCCACACCATCTGGATGATTGGCGGTCCACCACTGTGCGATTTAGAAGATGTTTTCTTCCTCGCACAACTTCCTTGTGGAATAGTTTACCACCAGGGATTTTTCCGGACCGATACGACTTAGGGACCTTCAAGAAAAGAGCCTACTCCTTTTTAAAAGGCCGGCAACGCATCTGCAATTCCCCTGGTGTTGCGGTTGTTCATGGGCGGCGGTAGTCACTTACCATCAGGTGAGCCGCATGCTCGTTTGCCCCCTCTCCAATAAAAAAAAAAAAAAAGTGGTTTTAAAACAAATCCACAAATCTATGCTAAATACAACACAGTCATATGGGCTTGTAATAGTTATTTCGATGTCATCTTAACCACCACTCTTATTTATTGCTATTATTTCATCAAAAATGAGAAGAAAAAAAATATTCACCCGACTACCCTTGAAGGATGGTAATGTTTCTCGAAAGTAAACGAGTATATGTACTATGAACGAGTATATATATATGTTTGTCTTTAGAACGTTTTATAGCCTATATGGCTTGATAGATTTTAACACATATAATTTTTTTCTCTTTTCAGTAAAAATGCTTACCGAGTTGAGGTTTTTTTTAATAACTGTTAACCTTTAAGCTTGAACGAATAAATTTTTTTAATAACTGCTAACCTTTAAGCTTGAACGAATGTGGTTAATTCGTTCAAGCCTTTAAGGTTGTTTTCATTCTTTAAGCCTACTAAAAGTTTACTGTTGAATATTGGCCTCCACAATAGATTGCCTTATCTGCAAATATAAAAATTACGTATCACATTATTTGATTTTAATCAACCGATTTTAATGATTTTTTTTAAATGTGTATTGCTTGCTTTAAAGAGATAATTTTTATCCCAATAGGTGACCCTTAATATTTTTATTGCAAATTCAAAGGTTTTTTAAAGGACAAAGAGTCGTCGGAAAGGGCAGAGCAAAGTCTGCCTGGCCAGCTGATTAGCATATAATTTTTTTATAGAATAAGGGTGATAAACAAGCATACAGTTCACCTGGTGGTAAGTGATTGCTGTGGCCCATAGACATATAAATTTACCCTCAATTAAGAATCAAAATGCAGTTGCGTTGTCACCCCTGAGGACTGAGATGGAATGCATCGTTTCCAGTAAAAAGGGTTCCCGGTTTTCTACACTCACCATACGAAACTCGACAGCATTAACCTGCTATTTTACGTTGGTATTCTGTGAAAGCGTGGTCCTAACACGGTCTAGCCGACCTATTCGTGTTACAACCATAATAATATAGCTGCAGCCTGACTCTACCGAGTTTAAATATTCCATAGCTTCCATATTTTGCAAGCAGGTTGGTAATCGCAGTTTTTTTTAATAATTTTGCGTTTTGATCAGGAAAATGCTGCTGCCTATCTACCGTTTCATTTGGCTATGTCGCATCTTACGATACCCACAGTATGATGTAATGGGGTAGTGCATTTTCGGCGGCGTAAAATTTAATACTAAAAAAAAACATATATTTGCAACACTAAATTATTGCTTTACAAATGCAAACCCCACGCAGGATAATTATTTCTATGAGGGGTACACGTTTAAACATAAATATTTTGTTGTAAATAATTGTGGGCTCTAAAGTCAGATTTCCGCAAAATGGCCAAATATTGACTGATTTCAAAAGCCACCTCTAAAACCTTGTACGTGACACGAAACCCCGATAATCTACACAAAACTAACCACACTCCACGGCCGAAATAATGGACTGAATTTATCCAAATCACACGTTATATTGTGAACCATTTGATTTTCCGAATAATTTGTTCGTAGTACTTTTAAATAAGATTAAAGATTTATAAATATTTAATTACGTTTGTTTTATAATAAATTACTTTGTATATAATATGTTTCCTTGAATAAAATTGTAAATCTCCGAAAGATTTCAAACTTGGTGGAGCCGTGATATTACTTGTATAGTTGTAGCACGAATGGGTCGGCTCGACCAATGAGGAACCACTCTCTCACAGAATACCAGCGTAAATTAGCAGCTTAACGCTGCTGTGTTTTGTGTAGTGAGTGTAGAGAACCGGAGATCCTCTTTACTGGCAACGAGGCACTCCATCTTAGTCCTCACGGGTTACAACGCATCTGCATTTTGATTTGAAATAGAGGATAGATGTAGATGTCTATGGACAGCAACCACTTACCATCAGGTGGAGTTTGTGCTCGTCTGTCACCCTTATCC